GACGCACCCAGATTTTGAAGAAGCAAATTTTAAAAAATAGTAGGTAGGTAGGTAGAGGGATAGCGAGGGAGAGAAAGAAAAAAGAAATATAGTAGGTAGGTAGGAAGAGAGAGAGAGAGAGTAGTTGGTAGGTAGGTAGATAAAGGGATAGAGAGATAGAAAGAAATAGAAAGAGAGAGATATAAATACAGTAGGTAGGTAGGTAGGTAGGTAGGGAAAGAGAGAGAGAGAGAGAGAGAGAGAGAGAGAGAGAGAGAGAGAGAGAATAGGTAGGTAGGTAGGTAGATGTTTCCAGGTGTATTTATCCATGTGCTGGAGAAGGAAATTGCTGACAACCTGCCTAAAACTTATCAACCACTCTAATTAAACAGCTTTCCGAAAAGGGGGGGGAAGTTTTCCACTCTGCAAACCTCCCCAAAATGGCCCGTTTTTCACAAAAACAGGTTCATTTTTTTCAAAAAAAGGCATTAAAAGTTTTTTGGGGGGGGGGCTTGCAGAGTGCTCCTGGAAGTGTGGGGAGAGAGCAAAAAATGGCCAATTTTTGCAAAAACGGGCCATTTTTTGTTTTAAAAAATGCATGCATAGCCTTATGGAGGCTTACAGAATGCTGCTGGGGGCTGAGGGGGCAAAAAGGGCCCATTTTCTGCTCATTTCTGCCTTCCCCAACCCCCAGGAGCTGTCTGAAAGCCTCCATAAGACTATGCATGGCCATTTTGGTGAAGGGACAGGGCTTCAAGAGGCAAAAAATGCTGTATTCTGTATATAAGATGCACCCAGATTTTCAGCCTCTTTTTAGAGGAAAAAAGGTGTGTCTTATACTCCGAAAAATACGGTGGTTATAATCCTAAACATAACGCTCAGAAACCTATCAGTTACTTAATAAGAAAATGGGTTTTTATATAATGAGATTATGGATTAGGATTTAATTCGTTTACTAATCCAAATAAAAACTGCAGTCCAACAATGTGATGTCTTTCATACATCCAGCAAACTGGCTACTTTGAATGCCAAGTTACCTGTTAATGATGAACCAATTCCTTAAGTTCATATGCAATTCTAGTAAATGTATCTTAATCACACAACAGTCATATTTAGAAGAGCTGCAAACATAAAATCTGTTTAAATATAATATGGCAGAATATATTTATGTAATTGTAAATATATTAATGTAAAAAGACTCCTGTATTTCTTTTTATCCTTGGAGAGGTTATTCACTCTTACCCTTGTGACTCTGATTTGGCAACTCACTGGAAATAATTAATATATTACCAGCCTTTAAATATCTTCAACTACAACAATACCCCAAAGTTAACCCGAAATGGAAAGAACATGTCTTCTATTAAATTGCATCAGAGGTTATCCCTTTCTGCCAAGCAGAAATGAAATTTTATGAGATGCAATACAACTAGAGAGGGAATATAAGCCTGCTGATCAGTCCTCAAAGAGCATGTTGTCATTATTCTCAGATCAAAATCAAACAAAGTTTGATTCATTTAAACTATTCAATAATTGGATGATTATAAAGCAAGGCAAAGCAGCTACCTAACTCTGGTTCTCTCCCATTCAATAAGTAAATTTGCATTAGCAAGTGAAACCATCCTGAGTTATTTACCACTACCACAGTTTGTTCTTTTATTTAAAATGCATACGCTAGATAATTTTATGTAATCTATGCATCCTGGGTAAATTCTATTGAAAACAGTGCAAAGCAGTTAGGGAAAATATTTATATTTGGTTTGTAATACTTAACTGAAATGATCAAGTTACATATTTTTACACACATTTATGTTCCATAGTTGCCACATAGAAAAACAGTGATAGGTGAGTTTGTGAGGGATATTATTCAGTTAAACACTTTATTTTCTGCTTAGTGATTACTTAAGTTAATCAATGTCTGCATGGCAATTTCACAGGAATTTCAAATGAAATGTGACTGAGACATCCACTAAAAAGAGAAAATTGTTCTTATAACCTCCATAAGAGATATATAAAAATTTGTGCATTATAATTAAAACAGATGCTTTTCCCAATATTTCTGCATCTAGCATTTAAAAAGATCTGGTAGAACTCTATACTGCACATTAGGCTTAAAAATACAGCCAAAATTTATAATGAATAGATATAAAAAGAAAATAACATGAAGCTTTATTTGCATTTTGCGCAAAGGGAGGAAAAGCAAAACAAAGACTTTTCTTAAGCAAGTTATTTTTTAGTTGGGAAAAATTGATAGCACTTTTTGAGGAGCAAAAGAAATATTCCTCAGGCTACCTATCACCTTGTGGAATGACAAATTAAAAGTGTTATTCTAATAAGAGAACTAATGCTAATGAAGCTGAGGGGGTAAGATTTAAATCTTAATTAATGCACAGCATATAAAGCAGTGAAAGTAATAAACTTATATTATGTTACAAATTTGGACACATTAAACCTATATAATTCTAAAACTTTCATATCTGTTTGTAAGCTTCAGTTGGGCTAATGGTTGCATCATAGTGTAATAATGTTTGAACCAAAGTACTCCAGATGGGCTAATTTACAGAATGCATTCATGCTCTGTGATCCATTACTCTCAGGACATTGAAATTTGGAAAAGCTATGGCCACTTCAATTCTGCCATGCTTCCATAGTCAGCCACGGTCACATGATTTTCATTTCTAAGACTCCCTAGAAGCTTTGTACAAGGAAAATCAACTGGGAATCTGGGAAAAAGTCAGAAGTCCTAGGCTGGCAGGTAGGCAAGTAGCTGCTGCCGAATGGGGAGAGAATGATGGTACATGGAATTGCAGGGGAGTTGCAGAGTCCCTTGGAAAGAATGTCCAGGGATATGTGACAAGCACTGTATAGATTGTACCAGGGTGTGTGAGAGATACTTCATGGATTGAGGAATTTATGTGGAAATGTGAGAGTTGCGCAAGGGTGTGAGAGAAGTGCAGTGAGGGTCAGGGAAGATGAAGTAAATGAGTGAGATGATGAATGGTAGGTAAATATTTCTAAAAAGATAATCCAATAGGTCATAGATTATCTAAATTCCTTCATAAATAGCAATTGCCCCTACGAATCTGGGTCCTCATTTTACTGACCTCAGAAGTATGGAAGGCTGAGTCAACCTTGAGCTGGTCAGAATCAAATCTTTGGCAGTTGGTAGAATTAGCCTATAATACTGCATGTCACCATGGTATGGGCAAACATATTTGATCTTATAGCAAAATAATGGGTAAAAATGCAAATATTTCTGTTTTATTACAGTTCTGTTTGTCAGTAGTACTAACATTATGGTAGAAGGGAGATACAAGCTTAATAAATTAATCCTTAAGCATAAGAAAACTGTGATATCTCAAACTGTTGGAAATACCTTGTGGATTTCCTTCTTCAACTGCATCCTTCCTTCTGGGTTCACAATAATCTTAGCTTTTTATGACATCCAAATTGGGGAAAGAAAAGCTTAATTATTTTAAGCATAGTTTGTTCCATTTCAAATTAGAAATTCAGGGTGCCCCCAAGATACTTTGCAGTCTCAGATAAAGAACAAGTTTTCTTTCCTCGATTCCATATACAGAAACTAACTGGAATAGATGAGCCAAGTGGCCATAAATGCTGACTCTTGTACTTCATATGATTATAGAGCTGGAATCAATGATTACTATGGATGGACATGAAGATGTCATTTTTAACCACTGCTTCCATCAATTCAAAAGCTAGATGAACACCTTAGTCATAAGTAATAAAATGGGAAAAGAAAGGAAAGTTTGCTTAAATAGACCCTTGTGCCAAAATATGAAATTTGTAAAGGGAAGCAAATTTTCTGAAGAATTAAGCAAGTTAAAGGTTCAAAGACTGAGGATGATGTAGAGACTTTTTTCATATCACTAATACCATAATGAAAGTTATACCTGACTCGAACTTATATCATACAACTTCCATGACATAAGTTAATGTATTGTGAAAGAGCTAAATTTTCCCAAAGGAATAAAGGGCTCATTTTGGAAAAACATTGCAAAGAATATATTATAAACTGACATCAAAAGTAAAGCCCAGAGTTTTGATTTGAAGATCCTCATGAATTTCTTGCTGCATACAAAAGTATTTATTAGCAGAGTTGTTTCACAATAACAAAGAAGTCCAGTCTCTGGTAAACCTGATAATCTTTCCTGAAAGCAGATGGAGCATCATATGGCAGATTAACAGCCAACCCCAATCATCAGAAATAGTAGTTATACATATATTAGCACACAACTGAATATGCAATATCTTATATACTGCATTGAATTGCTGACATGTGCTCTTTGCCAGTTTTTTAATTAACCATTTTTCAAAAGGAGGTAAATAAGACTTTTGATAAATTTGGAGAAATTTGCTTCTTCTATCTATTAGTTACATTTTCAGACGCACACACACAGGTGTGAGTGTGTTTTGTGGCTTATTAAAACTATTTTTGAAAAAAAATGTTTGATAACATGGAGGGAGCACATACAAACCAGCTACATTCAAACCACAACGTTTCCAATTCCCAGCCTGGAAAATATGCTTTATGCTTAAATATGCTTTTAATGGTCCAAGCAGTATTCTATGTAAACTCCTACACACCATGAAGGCTTGGATAACCCTTATATTTGTTAATCAGTTAATGCAAACTCTAAAATTTCAAAAGTGGAAATATTTGAAAACTGCTGAAATTAACATTTGTATTAATATTATTATTAAAATAATATACAGTATATGGCTGCCCAATCAACACCATGTGACTACGAGTGGCCATTCATTCATTAATTAATACATATATACATATCAAATACATATATACAGTATGTACATATCAAAGACACAAATATAAGAAATATTTTTATGTGTACATTTAAGTAATGTTAATTCTCTATATCTTCCTTCATGGGTCTAAACCCAATCACAGGTCCATAATAGGAATTCAGCTCATCTCTTCAGAGTAAAGAAATACAAACAATTTGATTGCCGGAGTGGCTAGTGATAAAACAGAATTACAGTACCTTTGCAAGTAAAGCATTTAATGTGAAAATGCTTGGCCTGAACGCGAAGTACTTCTCCTTTACATTGCTCCCCACATTTGTGGCAGTGGATGACAGGCTTCTCTGTGGGATGAGGAGGCTCCTGAGGATGGGCCACTGGGAAAACAAAATTTGTATATTAAATGTACACATTTTTTTACTTCTAATAAAAAATTACCAAAAGAAGACATGTTTTTAAAAAAACACAAATATTATATAATGCTCATTGTATCATATTGTATGATATTTCAAAGTCATTTCCTCATGGCAGACTAGACCATAACATCCTATCAATTGGATTTGAAAATTACATTTTCTGGGATGTTAAGCCAAACTAGGAAAATTTCAATCTATTTTCAAAAGCCTCTGCATGAAATTATTTCAGAACTCCTGGAGAAAAGAGGGAGAGGCAGAGATGGCTAGAAAGGTCCGCCATTAACAGTTGTCTGTAGTACAACTACAGTGCCCGCTTTCAGAGGGCAGCAACAAAGAACTCATGTTTTATGCTTTAGCACAGGCTTGCCCAACCAGGGCCCATATCCTGGACAGCTGGTAATGTGGCCCCAAAAGATCGTAACGTTTTAACATTATTATGTGATTTATATACATTATAAATGTATTATTTATTTTATAAACAACCCAATTTTTCTTCACTCAAGGCAACCCCGGCCAAAAGGTTGGACACCCATCCTCTAGCACACCTAGCACATCCTAGTATCTTCCAAGTCTTTAGAAGATAAATCACATTATGTTGACCAAGGCATTATAGCTAGTCCTTAAGGGTATTATAATTCTGAACATTTATAAAGAACTTGGCTATGAGAGTGTTTAAATTGCTCCCTTTACTTCAATGGATGAATAATTTCAAAGACTAGAAAAAATAAAATATGTTTCTACAAGAGATAGTTTCAAAACTATCAGTTCAAAACAAGAATTTTTTGTTCATATGACATAGTCAGCAATATCCATTGCTAGATTTATTAGCAATGTCCACTGGAAGGAATCATGGAAAACAATTGGAATGTCCTATGAAACCTGTTTTTTTGCTAATTTACAGGAATTCTAGAGAATTCTAATTCATTATGCCTGTGAATAATGAATGGTTCTATTTTTTAAAGGAATTTCATTTTCATTTTCTGCTTTAAAGCACTTTATACAGAATAACAGAAAAAACAATGCTTTATTTTTCTAAACAAATGACTAGAACCTAATTGCTATGAATACAAAATGATTTCCCTCTTTTCATCCTCCGACTAGTAGTTTTGGGATTCTATTTACAGCCCTCTGTTATTTAATCCATGTAAGTACTGAAGACTCAAAGGAATGCCTACTAATATTTTAATTAGATAATTATTTCTAATAAAGACTTTGATGCAACATAGCCTTCAATAAGCTGCCCTATGTCTAAGTAAAAAAGTTCTATTTCTGAAACTTAAGGACTGGGTTATTAGCTTCCCCCACCCCAAAACATGATGAGAATAATTAGTATCAGTGGTGACACATTATTTATACAGTACAAAAGAGTAAATGGGTGTATAAAAGGGCAAGCCCAAGGTATTAAAAATAACTTTATTCATTTAGAATCCATTAACATGAAAACTCCAATGTGTAGAACTTGCAGCATAACTGCCTGATGTCAGTTGCTTAGATTCTAAGAGGTTTCTGTAATGTTGATGGCATTTAGTAAAATAATTTTGGAATTATTCCAACCATGCTATAGCAGTGTAAGAATTACAATTGCACAAGTATGACTCTAATCATAAATAAAACATGAGTCTTGAAGATTAAAGGAAGGAGGAGGTACTGTATGAGCCCAGAAAGTCGGTAGTAGCTTCACTTCAAAAGATATTCATTAAAATCAGCCAGGGCTGCTTTAAGATAAATTGTTGTCTTATCACAATCATGGTGCTACCGTTGTAAAGAGGAAATTCTGGTTTTCTGCTAGTAATCTTAATGAGCTCAATAACCATATACAAAGTTCATAACAGGTACTGATACCTGCAAAGGCAGTATGTGTGGTGCTTCTAGCTACAAACTTACATTCCTTTTTATATCAAAAATACCCAAACCAGGAAAGATATTTTATTTATTCCCTGCCTTTCATTCCAGAGCTCAGGGCAGCCTTCATATCACTACCTTGTCCTATTTTAATCCACAACAAATTCCTAAATTGCCTCTGTTCTCCATCCAACCTTATTAGAAATCCCCATTAGTAGTATAAAACTACTGTAAAGTAGTAACAAAACATATACAAAACCATGTGATATTCATGACCCTCAAAAATTGACCACTTTTCCCTAAGGATAGGACTGGCCCTATTATTTCACTTGATCTGTATTACTTTTCCAGTAAAACTGCAAAAGTGGATAAATAGAAGATAATACATTACTTAGCTATAAGAACAGGAAAGCTTATGCTAGACTAGACCAATGAAATTAAATGGCCATATTTCTAGAAACCATTATATGAATAAACAAATAGCATATTTTCCTTCTGTATCATCCTGTTAGAAAATAATAACATCTCCCATTTCTTCTCCTTCTTTTCCTCTTATTCTACTTCTCTTCAAATCAGTCAGACTCAGAATTTAACCTTAACTTGCCCACCTGAATAAACAGTATGAAAAAAGAATATTCACTCCACTGATATTTGGTTACCACCTCAACAGTGATTTGGCTTCTTTCAGTGCCATTTCATATACTGCAAAATGTCAACAAAAATGCATTTCTGTGTAAGAACTTACCCTGTTGTACACAATACTATACTATAACACAATATGCTATCCAAGAAATGTGTTCTATTCATTTCTCATAACCTTTTAGCCAGTATGATAGATGGAGTTGCAATGAATAATTGGAGTTCCAGACTGGGAAAGGTTGTATAAAGTGTGACCATTGTTTATAGTGTGTGCATACACTGCTGCATATATAGTGTGCTCTCATGCTTTGATTTATACCAGAATTGTACAATCTGCAGCAACAAGGCTATACGTGTTCCTAAAGGCTTAGACGGGCCTTAACAAACCTCTCAGTTACTATTGGGCGGGATTATAATTTTTCAATGTAATGTAGAAAGGAATTTATTAAATATGAAATAAAGGGGGATGATATGAGATAGAACTCAGAACTGAGGAGAAATTTCCTGACAGTTAGAACAATTAATCAGTGGAACAGTTTGCCTCCAGAAGTTGTGAATGCCCCAACACTGGAAGTCTTTAAGAAGATACTGGATAGCCATTTGTTTGAAACGGTATAGGGTTTCCTGCCTAGGCAAGGGGTTGGACTAGAAGACCTCCAAGGTCCCTTCCAATTCTGCTATTGTATTGTATATCTTATCAATCACAACCACTGCTATTTCTACTATAACATCTTAACCACAATGCGTTCTTTTTCATTCTTTCTATTTTTTACTTAAAAGTGCTTCAGTATACAATCAAAATCTTTAGATATATATAGAATATATTTTTCCAATAGCTGGAGGACTTCAGTCGAACATTGTCTTTATTGTCCTACTAAGTGTGCTCTGCTACCCTTGGCTGTCATTCACTCTCTGTTGTAACTAGCTCTTAGATTTTTTTTTTTTATTCTTCAAGCATATCAAATGTACCATAGGTCATATTGACCTCTGACTCAATCTAAATAGTCAAATGTGCCAGGTAAGCAGTTTGTGCTTACTGTATCTGAATGGAACAGATTCCACTTTGGTAGGAATGCAAATAATGTAATGTGAATGAGGAATTCTGAAATATCAAAAAGAAACATCAGCTGCGTGAGTGGAAAATATCCACGTGATGCCTTTCATTAGGCCAACTGGATACAGAGGAAATGATTGCAACAAGTTTTAAAGTGTCATGATTTTACTAGGCAGGAACTAGGCCTAATAAAGAAGGATTGGAAGAAAACATAACTGGTGATTAGTCACCAAGAGCTGTGTGAGTGCCTCTGGGGGCATGTTAAGCAGTCTGGTTTACAACCTGAGACTTTCCTCTATTCTCTCTTTAATAATTTTCTGGTAAAAATCAAAGTCATGTGGGAATAGGTAATCATAGTGCTGGAAGGGGCTTTAGAGGTCTTCTAGTCCAACCTCCACATTGGAGTAGAGGAGGCAGGAGTACTTATACCATCTTGGACAAATGGTTGTCCAATCTTTTCTTGAAACCCTCCAGTGATAAAGCACTCACAATTCCGAAATGCAAGCTATTCCATTGATTAATTGTTCTCACTATGAGGAAATTTATCCTTATTTCCAGGTTGAATTTCCCTCTGATGAGGTCCCCTCCATTGCTTCTTGTCTTGTGGTCCTTGACTTAGAACCACAATTGGAACTGGAATTTTGGTGATTGAGCAAAACAATCATTAAACAAGACTGCAATCACATGACTGCTTCGCAACCAAAATCCCAGCACTCTTGCTTGAAGTCAACAAGAGATTTTATGAAATAAGCAAAGGCAGTACCAGGAAGTACCAGGGTGCCTCAGTGAATGTTGGGGGGAGACCCAGAGAGACTCTGGTCAGGAACTGAAAATCCTCCCTGTTGAAATCCAAGCAGGATTTTCAGCATCTGAACAGAAAGACACTGGTAACTACCCTATGCTGGGCTTTTTATACCCACATGAAGCACCTCACAGTCTTTCATTTACTATGCTGCCTGAGTAGAGATTCCAAGCTTGGATTTGGGCTTCCTCTTGTCGCTGGAAGCTGGTTGAAAGAGCTGCCTGCTGAAGAAGTTCAGCTCCCCTTCATGCACGACTGGAACTGCTTCAGCAAGATACAGGAACAGAGCTTTTTTCTACATCCTGCCAAAGAAGTTCAGCAAGCAGTTCTTTCAGCCATCTCCTAGAGATGAGCTGGATTCCTCTTGATATGAGGCAATAGCCTGAAACTATCGGGGGGAAGTTGGGGGAAACTGGCATAGAAGATTGAAAATGACATGATTGAGGGACACTTTGCAACTGGATGTGTCAACAGTTGCCAAGCACCCAGATCATGATCATGTGACCGTGGGATGGTGCAGTATTTTGTGATGGTGAAGTGCTTTATGAGTCATAAAGCACCCTTCCCAAAGTTGTTGTAATTCCATACCATCATTATTAAATGAATTGTTTTAAGTCAAAAACT